AACGACTGCACAACGCAATGGGGGAAATGGCGCTCGCCGCATTGAACTTTGTATAGGTGGCACCAGATTGGGTAGTTACGTACTTCGGGAAGCGCAACAAACTCGCGCTTCCGAGCATGAAGAATTTAATGTTGGTAGCAGATTATCGGATAAAAATCCATGAGGTTACAGATTGCACCTGTGTAGTGATTCTGATCCAACTACGATATGAAAAAAAATTTTTTTAGTAGTGCAGGGGCCCTCGTCTAGTCGTAGTAGTACTACGGTAGTACGTCACGCCGTGACGGTCACGGTGGTGTACAAGTTAAGCCAAGTCACTAGTGTATACCACTCAGGACTTGGCAGTGAATCATTCACAAAACACCAAATATACGACTAGTCGGGAGCGTCAGGGAGCTGTTTCACAGCAACAGGCTGTTGCCAACAGCTAACCCTGACAAACACCCCAACCACTGTACACTAATTGACGTTGGAGAAGGAGTTGAGGGTTGATTCCGATACAGACAGCAGAGATAATTCTACAAGGTCGTGTTGAACTTAAATTTATGCTTGTACATTTTTGGTAGTGTTTATCTTTCTGTGGCTTAGTACTTTGACTGTGCATTACTAGATTAATAATGTGCTACGGGTGATGCATTACATCGTTGATTGGCAGTATATGCCCGAGATGTAATTTTGCCTACAGTTGAATAAAGATGACTTCACTCTCTCTTGTCGTTATACTCTACATCTTTGTCTAACAGCATATGCTTCACATATGCCTTTTATCCCGAGTAAATTCATCTTACACTTCGTTGTGGTGATACACTACATCGTTAGTTGAAGGTTTGAAATTTGGAATTGGAATTCTCATTGACGCGAAGTCGAACTTCGAGTCTGCCTCGAATGTTTTATGGCGAATTTGGAAGCTCGAAGGCGATTATGTTATTTCCTTTCAAGCTTCGCACCTTGTTCTCCACGTGCTCCGCTAGAAATATACTCGAGACCGATAGCACGAAAGTACCGTGAGGGAAAGGTGAAAAGAACTTTGAGAAGAGGGTTAAGTAGTGCCTGAAATCATTGAGAAGGTAGCGGGTGCCGCCGTCGCATATGCTGATTGTAGGATTGATGCTCGCTTCTCTCTTCTGCTACCCATTCACAGACAAAATACATGGTAACTAATAAGATGTTTGAAAGACCTGCAGTTCACACGTAGTGAGTCGCCGCTGACACTGGAATAGCCCAATATATGATCCCATGGTGTTGAAGCGATGGTGCAACGGGAAGAGGCCGAGGAATGAATGATACGTTGTAGCTGGCAGTATGAAGTGTGACTGAGTGCAGATTAGCTGTATTTGATTTATCCCATAATGGCCAACAAAGGGTTCGTTCCCACATTTAAAGATCTCTATCATGCTGCTGATGGTGAACAGTCCAATTGGAAATACGGTATGTTCACTGATTGGTGCAAAGATCCATGGATGGCCTTGGTAAGCATTTGATTACCATTAGAGCTTCACATCTCCTTCATTCGACGCTGGCCTGTGCTATCCTGGTGCCCCCCCCTTCAGGGCTCCTTCTTCTGCATGCCGTGTGCTCGAGGGATGCTGAGTGAGAAGACTAGCACTGGTGACTTTCTTCCATCATGTCTCATGAACTGCTTCTGCCCCTGCTTCGCGGACTGCAGTCATAACATAGCGGCACGGCAGCAGGTGAGAGGGGAGCACGGTGTTGAAGGTAAGCTAGTCTCTCCGAATTCGAATGGTAGTTCAGGTTGTTGTGGTAGGTACAATATTGGAGGACTTCTGTCTCCTGTCTTGTCGGCCTTGTTCCGCAGCGCAGGAATTCAACCAACTCGGCGTTACGATGGATGATGTCGAGAAAGACGTGAGCCGTTAGCACTCATTAACAAGCCGATACGCTGTTTCACCAGGTACGCAGAGTGGTAGGTAACACGACAAGCAGTGGCAACCAACCCGAAACTACCACACACGACCAGGCATTCGGAGGAGGAGGAGGAGCTGCTCAGAGCTCGACTTCACCGCCCACCGCCGCAGCGCCTGCACAGAATACAATGAACGCAGCATAATGCTCACTCCTCTATTAGTGATTCGTGAAGTCGGTCCATGGTCGAGGACTGGTTTCTCCCTCAGTACCCTTTATGCAGTAGTTCATTCACTTCATTTCTCGCTTGTCGTTGCGGACTCCTATGATTACTAGTGTTGTGTTGTGATAGTTCTCGACCATCATCAAAGAATCTTCTGATAAGTTCGACCCAAGGCTCGAGTCTACCTGTGACTCCGGCAGGCACGTTATGATGCTTGCTTGAGAAAGTGGGGAAACTTCCTCAGTGGTCAAGCTGGAAACTCAGTTAATGAGGGCTCTCCAAGAGCTGAGTTTCCAGCTCTGCCAGTCTGATGTTCCTCTCAGCATTAATAGTCTATGCCTCCACCATTCCGCCCACAAGCCAGCAAGTCCTCATTCAAGCCTGCTCCCGCTCGTGGTGACCGGAAGGCGTTCCTCCGGCAGGATTTCCCTCGCCCGTTGTCAAGACGTGAGCAGGACTTCCTACACCGCGACATGGAGCGAGAGCTCATGAGGGCGCCACCACTACTCCCTACGGCCAAGGATATGAGTCTAGTCCAGTCGACTTCTACAGTGTTTATTCACCCCAAGCTCGACCTGTGTCTCGATCAAGCAGTGAAGAGTGCCGATGTTGACCTCGACCGAGCCGTTAAGAACGTCTTCGATGTAGTGGAGTCGTTACCATCTCGAGAGGGCCTCACGAGACCGGACCTCCGCATGCAAGCTCTAGTGAATCGTGTCGCCAATCGTATACAGTTGTCATCAGTCGATACGCTCTTCTATGCAGCCATGTTGGGCCTCAGTGTCGCGGCACGAACTGCGACAACATCTTCGAGGAGCTGCTATCGGTCAGTCGAGTACATGAGGTTTCACCGGCCAACCTCGTGAGGCTGTTCCGTGCAAGAGCTCTGGGAACCTGCCCAGGTGATCGCGAATGGCAGATCCTCGCGTCGATGGTCACCAGTAGTGTCCGACTAGAGGCTCTCGTCCCCCTGTTGGAGTTGCTCTCACTAGCTAAAGTAGAGGAGCCTACCTCCTGGGAGCTGGCCCTTGGGTCCTTATCGTGGCTTACCTTGTCCGTCCCGGAATTCCTCACTTGTCTTGGTGCCCTTAAAGCATGCCCCGATGTTGAGCTCGCTGCTAAACACTGTGCTAGGGCGGTCCATGCCCTCGAATCCGGCTTGGTCTACGAGCTGCTCTCGTTGGCTGATCGAGACACTCTCCTCTTCACACTGGCTATCCTCAAGCACCGATTCGAATCACACGTACTCTGCCCTCACCCATTACAAGTGGAGGTGGCAGACGGACCGGCTCGGCTGTTGGCTAGAAGGCTAGCGTCGGACATGAACCTCGATCAGGCAGCGTTCCCCCGAATGTGTCGGGTCTCGATGGCCCTTGTGCAGCTCGGGCGTCTGCCGGACTGGACTGTGAAAGCCATTGAGAGGCGCTTGGCCTCGCCGAGACTATTATTACTCCCTTCAGCCGGGGTCCAGGCGACGGATCTGCTCAGTCTACTGTGGGCTTTACATCGATGGCCCAACTCGTGGCGTCGAAGACCAGAATGGGGTGCTCCTGATGGGCTCGGTACACAGCTCCACATGGCTCTACGAGCCCACCTAACGTCTGGTACGATGACAGCTCGGATGCTGCTGACAGCCGTTGAATGTCTGGCACCAATTGCTACGAGGAAAACCAAACCAGTGCTCCTTGATGCAATGCGGGAGGCGGCGAGACTAGCGCTCGAGAACAGAGAAGCTCTCACGCTCAACGAGATCTGTATGGCTGCATCGACCTACACTGTGAGACTCCGGTTTTCTTCGATCGAACCTCAGACTACGGTGGCCTTCCTGCAGCTCCTCCACCAACGAGGACTGGACAGACTAACGACGCCCCAGTTGGCAGACCTATGTGAAGTTCATTCTCACTCCCGTATAGTGACAGGTCTTCCGGAGACTTTGGACGCTCTTACTGCGAGGCTTGCAAATACGGGCGGACTGATCGCGCCTTCGGTAGCTGCTAGAGTTCTGGTATCAGGAGCGATGATGCAAGCAGTGGCCCCAGAGGGCTTGATCCTTGCCCTGGCTAAGGCAGTGAATGCTGCCGAGAATTTGCATCCCCGAGTGGCAGCACGAAGCATCTGGGGTATCATCGCATGGCAGGCTGGACGGCATGAGGAGCCCGGGTTGACGGGTGAGTTGGAGAAGCTCGTCATGGCCGTGGCCAGCAGGGAGGCGATGGAGACTGTACTTGAGCACAGAGCTGTGTCTGGGATGCTGTGGCGGGCTCTGAGTGTCCCGCAAGCTGATGCAAGTATCAGGGGAGTTATGGAGGGGTACAAGGCCCATCTGTTGGCTTTAGACCAGCAAGACGACTACAATATGCTCCCATCTGGTCCTATCCCGGATCTTGATGGCCTCTTGGAGCAGGCTGGTCTCGGGCGGAGCGCTTCTCTCGTGGAAGACAAGGAAATTGGCAGGGATCCAAGCCTCGTGGCTGGCCCGGATGGAGCGGGGTCGATTGCGCCTTCCGATGAATTCAAACTGAACCTGGCCCTTGTTGAGCGACCGTCCGTGGGGACGGAGGAGATAGAGCAGCCTGTGGGCATCGATGATCAGAACGAACACCTCTCGGAAGCGAACTATGACATTCGTCAGATTTTGGGAGAGCACACATGGAGGCAGCTGGTCGTCGAGAGTGCTGAACGTGAGCGGCTGACTTCGGAGGCTGAGGGGAGCTCAGGAGTCGCTAATGGATCGGCACCCGAAGACGAAGATGAGGACCTCGACTCTCCTAAGGATGCGTCCTACCTAGCGGGGCTAAGAGCAGCTGCTCTGAAACGAACCCCTCGTACAACCTTCCCAAAATTACAAGGCTTGCTGGCTGACATCCTCAGTGCTCTAAATGTGTGTCACCGATTCCCTCGAGTGGGGATCGAGCTAGAACATGAGTTGCATAAGGACAGCGGAGGGTTTGAGTATTTGCCGAGACTCCATGAGCAATTCGACTTAGATTGGCTACATAGGGGTGCCAAAATTGGGATTATTGTCCTAGGCCCGAAGAGCTATGCACTCGACGATCAGCGGCATCTACTCTGCGACGCCAGAATGTCTAAAATGCAGTACGAGGCTTCAGGATTGGACGTGTTGATTGTGCACTCTGACCACTTGCATGCGGCACACGAGGCAGGGGAAGACGAATTGAAGAAGAGAGTTCGGCGTGCCAACCGCCTGCCCCCACTCGGCAACGATTGTGAGATGTTGAAAAGGTGCATCGATGTTGTCCTTGGTGTTGATGAAGGACGAGATGAGGTTTCAGTGTACTCGCATGAACTGTAGTTTCCGTATCTCACTCAGTGTTCGCATTGTATATATAGTGCGTCGAAATCGTGGGTTATGCGAACTACTCTGTTCCACTGAACACTGTGATACAGACGTTTTGGCGGTGTGGCGCTGAACGACACAATCGATGAGAACCTGGCCAAGCCCTAGGCTTCTATATGTGGGCTTATGAACGCAAGATGTAGTGTACGCGCAACAACGCGGGTCCATACAGCCTTGGTTACACTATATGCTGATTGCCTGTTCTACTGGGGATGAGCTAACCTTCTGCGCGGAGATTGGAGTCTGGACTTGAATGCTGCCGTATGTCACAACTTCTTGACCTCCGCTCTCTGGGGCGCCCATTGACCCATGTGCATCCTTCAGCTGATGCGACTCTAAGAGTCGCACTGCGGCTGATTCGAGATCACTCCGTGGCTTGAGAATGTCGGCAATATCATTTAGGAAATCCTCTTGCTGCATTATATCCTGAGATGAACGCGAGTATTACGGGTAAAGCGGTGTGAGATGCAGTTCTAGTGACGACTACAGCTATAGCTTACTTTAACCGGTGCACCTCCCCTTCGCGTTTCAATATCAGCGGATGCTATGGGGGCCCACAGTGGATCAACCTGTATTCGAGGTTTACACTAAAGTGGAACTGCACCCAATGGGGCTCACTGGGAATGCCGCCACAAAGACGCAAGCGAGGAATGCCATCTCCACACATGTGAGCGTCTCCTCGATTACCACCAATGAGTGCCGGACTTCAGAGAGCGACTGAATGAGTGGAGAAAATCGTCGACCTCGGACGTCATAGCTCGTGCCTCACTGAGCTGAGCCGAACGATCCCAACTTCTACAAGAGTCATCAAGACGACATTTTGCGCCCACGGGAAGAAGACAATGAACTTGATCAGCAAGAATTTAGGCAAGGGCCTGAACGGCTCGAGTAGCTCTCGAGTTGCACGGTAGAACATCGCCAGAGAGTAACTGAAATAGTGCCGACGATTCAGTGAGTGAGCAGATCTCTCACATAGCCAACGACACTGAGGTGTTCACGATCGCTGTTATAGTGAGGAAGGCCACTCTGCTCTCCAATGTGTCCTCAGTGTACACTCCAAAGGCGTGACAGAGTAACACTGCTACCGATGATAACGGTTTTAGTATCTGCATGAAGAACTCCATCTAACGCACGTGTTCAAGTACGTCAACTCACCACGAACTGAATGCAACCGGCTCGGAGTAGCCACAGGAGTCTCTCGTCAGTCGGAAGAGGCTTTGGTATGAACCACCGTATAGGCCACGGCCACTCCACACGATTACCGTGGTCGAAGTGCAGTAGCAGTCGACGTGAACCACCTATGAATGGGCCTCTAGAGTGCCGATCGGTATAATACTCACCCAAGTAGTTGACATTGAGGACCATGAACATGTACAGAGCATACGCTTCATATGCATCCCTCACCAGTGCGAGGGCATATCTGAGAAGTTCCCATAGCGAGCAAAGAGTTACTCTGAGGCCTCCACCTCTTGCTAGGATGCAGTACACTAGCCCAAGCACAAAGGCAGTAGATAGGGACCAAGAGTATAATCCGCGCTATGTAAACCTGATAATGATGGTGGCACCGATCATGGACAATGTGAAATCGTCAAGATCTCACCTGGTACTCTGGTGCTACCCATCTTCTTGCATGCTGGCATACATGTGATAGGGCCACCACCAAGCAAATAGCCGTGCTCAGAGAGGCCACCGTCACAGCACTTATTGTAGGCAAGTGCGAGAGTATCGATGCCGAATTCGAGTGGTGCATCTTCAGACTGTGTTGCCGCCCAGTGGGAGCATTCAGGAAGCAAAGGGGCCTCGATAGGACACGTGAATTGAATGCGTTGCTCACAGCCACAATAAGCTCTAACGGCAATAGGGTGAACGAAACAGCAATTTGATGCCGAGACCCTCGACAAGTAGTAAAGGAGCATCACACATCGCAATAGTGGGAGTCAGCGACTGCATCGTCGTAGTCGAGCTCAGCCATGAATCTCGAGAACTCCTCCTCTCCCAGTGCGGTTCGGAGTGCAGCACGTCGACGGGACTCGTTGGTAGCGGGCTGGAAGCTGTATTCATCATTTGGTACTACTCGCCGCGATCGGCGTGTGGCACTGAACTGAAATGGCTGAGGCACCGTCAGTGTTGGAAGCCACTCTGTGGGCTGCGACTGGGTCCGCATTGTTGATGCTTCTCGCTTCTGCCTATCTCTACTGCGGGCTCTGACGAGAATCATAAGCACAATGAGCAGCATCCCCTTACTCCACTGCCATCCGACGGTTCGCCATAAACCTGTCGTAGCCGCTGATGAGGATAGGCCCCGGTAGTATAGCAGAGCACGAGCTCATCGTTGAGGTGCCTGCGACCAGCAACAGTTCGGCAATGGTTATTTCTCGCGGGAGCCTGCCTGACTTTGCATGTTATCATTTCTCCGTATGCTGGGCTCCCCAGTATCGGCGGCTCTCCTCGGAGTAAAGGTGCACTCCTTCAGTTCATCCGATTCTTGTCTCCGTCGCAACTCCTCAATTCTATGCCTCCGTCGCTGCTGCTCTCTCGTGATATCACCTGCATCGAAAGAAACCACCCTATGTATTAACCCGCCTTCCACCCCCTACTCATGAGCCGAGATGGCTCGGCGAAGTTATAATGGCTCTTCACATGATCATATGAGCTGTTCTGATGCTCTCGAGCCTCCCCTGAAGGCTGTTGCTCCCTACGAACGGTGCACGCTTCAGAGGCACTATAGATAGAGGTTAACTGTTCTTTCTCTGTCTTCTCCCGTTCGTTCCTGATTCTGCTAGCATCTTCATATAGTCGCTCATGAATCTCTCTATCGTCCTCATTGCCCTTGATAGCGATCAGCTTACGCGACTTGGAGTTCAACTCCGGCCGGAATGTGCATTCAGGAGGACCTCTAGCCCGTAACCACTCTTGCCGTTTCCTGCAACAATGACCCCTCCGGCAGCGCTGCCTCGTCACCCAGTGCTGCTCACTGTCGTCTCCTAGCATCAGTGCACTCGATCCTGTGAGCCCGACTCCGTGGGGATTCACCTAACTAGGCCTAAAGCACCTCCCACACGACGGCGTGCTATGTACATGCCTGATGTTAGTGCTTCTGACACAGGATTGACCGACGGCTTGAACGTGCATTCAGCATCAAGCACTGCTCGCTCTCTCATCTCTGCCCGAGCCAGTCTAGCCTCAGCCGACTGTTCTAAGGAGTTCAACATCAGCCTCTTGTAAGATCCGCTCTGAGAGTCCCACCTTGACGCTCCATAAAGCGCCGAATTCTCCGGCTCCTCTCCCCATTCGTCAGTGGCACTGCATCGTCGGCCATCTCCAGCAGCTTGTCTTCCGAAGAAACCCCCTCATGTACACGTAGAAGCCTTTCTTCCACCGGCATGTTAGAGAGGGCATCTACAGTACCACCAGAGGTATTGCTAGCCGTAAGAGCTTACGCCTTAGGCGTATGTGTTTGAGACTTATGATAATCAAAGCGCCTATAGTTTTACACTGTAATTGTACTCTTGTAGTAACAGGTTACTCAATCAGGCGTGCGAAAGAAGACACCATAACTTCAAAGGCGTTGGGTTTACAAGTCTTTGTCTACCACACAAGCTGTCGTATCGCTATCGCGAGCCGACAACGCTCACCATGCACTCTTCTCCTCTCCAGTATCTTCAGACTCTGAGGATTGAGTTTAGGAGTGAAAGTAGTGTCCTTGCTGGCCTCAGCTTCTGCCTCTCTACGTCTCAGCTGCAGTCTATCGTGCCGTAACTGCTGCACTGCCCGATACCTGAAGTAATTTCAATGACTTTGAGTCTAACCAGTTCACTGAATCTCAATGGACTTGCCGAATTCACGTCAGTGAAGCCTTGAAAAGACGAATATTTGTGTTATGGGCATTTAAGTGCTTACCTTTGCTCCATCGGAGCTCTCTTTTCAAAATGAGGGTCGGTTCCCGAAGATCGCACTTCAGGCCTACTCGACCACCCTACCAGTGTAGATGCAGCAGTAGGGACTAACCTGAACGTGTATCCTTGGAGTTCCATGGACTTCTTCGTTTCTAGAGCCCTCTCTCTTTGGGCATCACGTCGTTGGGCCTCAGAGTGTAGCCGCTCAGCGAGTTGTCCCGCGGTCGCTGAGAAGTGCGGGAGTCAAGGATGGGCCGAGGTGGGAGCCTCCAACGTACTGGGCCTCTTGCCCTCGACTATCTTCCGGCTGCGCACACTTATCTTAGGCGTAAAACTGCATTTCTCTGCGGACCGTTCTCGCTCTTCCTTCTCAGCTCGACGACGCTGTTGCTCCTGATGAGCTCGCCGGGGTCAGGATACAAATAATGGGTACGACGAATAGTATGAATCCAGAATGGATTGCCGAGGGCCCTGCAGCGCCATGCATTCCCTCCCTACCCTTGCATAAGTTCGTAACCACAGGTCAACCTTCCCGTTGAACTCAGTGGCACCGATAGTCTTCTTTTGCCTATAGTAAACAGATGATGGAGTCCTACTACATCACCCAGCTGAGCCGAACACAATGCCAGACTCGTATGGCCGGACACAGTGCCATTCGCCTACTTATCTCTGGTCGATGAGCTTAGTCGTTGCCGCGGCGTTCGTTCAAGCATAGCCGGGCTTCGAACTACTGTTCGGCCTGGGTCGGGTTGAGGACACTCGTCATCCAGGCTCCTACTATTCATGCCCTGACCAGTCATGAACAGCTCCGCATGAGACCACAATAATGACCTCCGGGCTTGTCGCCGTTCGTCGATCCCTCTCGTCTATTAGTTGCTGCATAGCACTATTGTGGTCTTCATTTGCGCATCTTCTCTCGTTCGGAGGTCGCGAGGGCCATCTAGTATCGCGCTCGGCTAGAAGCTGTTGCAGGGCCTGAGCAGTGTCGCGGCTGACGTTTGCACGTACAGTCCAGCCCTGCGAGCCGGGTTCAGAACTATGTCTCCGGAAGACAGTGACTGGCGTTATTTCAACGACGTTGTGTAGGAGTCACCCACACTGCAGCCTGGCGAGATTCCCTCCTCTGTGATACTTCTCCACACAGGGGACACATCGAGACTGTCAAACCTTATCTGAGAATCGCCACCCAAACCGTCGTAATTAGTGAGATCATCGTGAGAATGAGGAATCGTTGTATCAACCATTGCTGTCCATAGCGTTACTAGCAAGCTTAAAATGGGGATAGTATTCATCCTCAGAATATGAAGCACGGGGAGTCAATTTTTCGATCGTCCGCTAGGTCAAATATCATAGTTTGGGTAGAGAGACACCATGGGCCTCACCGTGCCTTTAGAGGAAAGCCTCGACTCCCGCGTCTGCAGGAATCTCTCACTGTCTGCTATCGATGCCTCGATCTCATCGATTGTGGTACGCATATACAATGATCGACCACAAGCTAATGGAAGCTCGTTATCAAACATATTACTCCGGGGATATGGTCTGAATGCCAGAGTGCTCAGAGTTCCCTCATATTTTTATCTGCCAGACCAGTCCATTGCCGCCTCGAGAGCCACTGTACTGAGTAGATGAATTGACAACGCAGCGAGTAAATTGATGGAATCTCAGAAACGTCAACACCATGTTAAAGATACGACGAGGATCGTCAATCGTCTCTGAGAAGGAGGACGAGGCTTGCATCCCTATCAATCATGGCCGACGCATGAATGAGCTCACGGAGCGAGGAACGCCATATTTCAGGCTGTGGTGTGGAATCCATCTCGAACGCCCACCCAATGATAATCGAGAGGGCCGCCAACATCAACGACTGGGTGGTGATCAACCACGGGCTAGTCGGCTGCCAGCCGTGAGCAGCAGCGATTCAAAGGAGCAGCTGCTGATGACAATAACAGCATGGGATATTAGGAAGAGCGGAATAAGGCATTTCACTCGGGTGAAGAAGAGAACGTACTAAGATTTCTCAGCGGCTTTGGCGCAGTAGGTAGCGCGTAGGTCTCATAATCCTAAGGTCGCGAGTTCGATCCTCGCAGGCCGCACTTATCAATCGCAGGAAAACTTATTATTTTAGCAAGCCTCTCAACTCTAGCATCCATTCATCCATGGCTCCCGCTCCCAGATGCAAACCGAGTGGCTTGAAGCCAACCGCCTTCTCTCTTTCATGAACCTTCCGCTCGAAAGTCTCAACTGGAAGTAGTAGGAGACCTGATGTAACTGACTTTCGGTGCCAGTGAGATTCCCACTGTGGGAGAAACCCAAAGTGTCGTAAGTCTATAGTGCACGTTAGCTGATGAGAAAAATCCACAACACCTCCCCTTCGCGGCGTTTGGGTGGCAGAGCTAAATTCCGCGAGACCAGAATGAAGAGCTACGACCACCAGGGGGACTTCGCTGCTATGGCTCTACCTCAGCGACCAGATTAGGCTTCCGATCGGTAAAGTCACCGAGGCCAGTTAATAAGCACTCTGCCAGAAATCGCACTTCACGTATAGCAACTTCCACCTCAAGTGGTAAACGAATCACCCAATCATAAGGTACACCTAGCTACGCTTCCAACAAGCCTCTTCTCGTGACTCTTTTGTCTCGCATGCCATGTTCTATGCAAATGCCAATTCCAGTCCTGAGCTTCCACTGATTTCAAATACTGCCCTCCACCAGAAGCAACCAGGAAGTTGACCCAAGAGCTCATCGTTCCTCTCCAGAGTGGCCATATCCGGCAGTATCAATCTGTCGAGATCTACATATTGATCGCTGGAACACTGATCAATAAGCCGGGCACTCGGACCCAGATTGACAACACGAAGCTAACGATGTATAAGGGGAACAACATTGGCATGGTCCATGCTAATCTGTATCAAGTTGACGCAAAAGCGTCTCGAAGGTACTAAGTCCCTCATCGTAGACCCAAAGTGGCGATCCATACCCGATACTCTGAGGAGCCGAGCAGGTTAGATAGATGATTCACGAGCCTGCTACCTCGGAATCCGTAGTGGTCCCGCCGCTGGCATGTGAGGAGGCGTATCGAAGGCCGGCAGCCGCGAGGCTCGAATACCTCGAAACATTGAACCTCGGAGCAGCCCACCAACGACCAAACTTACACTCGTCCTGGCCTAGCCGTCTGCTGGAGAATACTGTGCCCGTCCCCACTGAGCTGCTTTGGTCGCCGAGTCGGTCGCCGCTTGGTGGTAGCCTGTCGAGTTGCCTCTTCCTGCAACTCACGAACCTTCTGCTCTTCTTCTAGACGGCGCTGCTCCTGCCGTTTCGCTCGAGCGGCCGAGTCCGAGTAACTATTGGATACAATGAGCGGAGATCTGTGTCGTCAAAGTCTATACTACAGCCTATCAAAAGTCTCCTTGAGAGCGTCCGGAGTAAGCTGCCGCGATGCATGAACTGAGCATGTCTTCGTATTGAATTTCTCCCAGCACTCATCCTTGGCTAAGACTCTAGAGACTCGGCATGGCGGAGCGAAGCGAGACCGATGCCTAACATTCAAGTTATAAACGATGAACACCCTCATCTCCAAACTCCTACAGTCTATCGTGGACAGCATCGCCCTCCTGTGTGGAAGACAAGGCCTTGGCGTTCATACCGCCACAAGCAGCTCCTATATCCGCTGCCAAGTCCAACAGCTGTTTCCTGATATCATTCTCTATGTACCTCCCCATCTAACCTCGATCATACTGCTACCTCTCCTCCCTATCTCTCTGCCGCTCCCTCCGATCTATAGCATCCTTATATAGGCTATCCACCCTTGCTTGGACCTCTGCATCTCGTATAGGATCCAGCCCTCGAGGCTTCTCCTCACGGTTGGGATCGATAGGAATATTGAAGCCATGACAGTTGAGCATCTTCGCACACCGTGGTGTCGGCAACCGACCACCCCTGGGGAGCTTCACAATAGTCTTATACTTCTTGCGCCGTTCCTTCTCTTCTGCTGCCTCTACCAGTAGCCTACGGCGTTCTGAGAGTTCCTCCCGCTCCCGGTACCTGACCCTCCATATGCACTACCAAGTGGTCCTTACCGCCCCGTACAGTTTTTCCCATATGCTGCTAGTGGACGACTTAGGCCTACTGCAGTTCCTACAGCAGATCACCTGACTGACATGAGCTGATCAAAGCACTCACCCTCGAGCCATCTCGTCAATCTCTTTCTGCCGAGCTATGAACGCCTCCCGCCTTGCCAGCCGCCGCCCTTTATAGTCCCTACAACAGCACAGATGCACCGACCAGGTCGACGAGACCCCATACTCATAGAGGCTGTTGATACGATCTATATCAGGCCTTCGTCCAAGGCCGCCAGGTTGGGCCATTTCGATAAACTCCTTCGCTTGCGCTTCCCGCTGCTCATCAACAAATCTTCGCCGTGCGGCGTATCTTTGGACAATACGATGTCCCCAAGTGGACATAAAGATACTACCCGTTATACAGTCGCTCGAATAAGTCATCACTTTGTTTCCTCTCCATCTTGCCAGCCTTCCTATTCAGAGGGAGCATAGTCTCTTCCTCGTCCCTGGCTTGCTCTGCTAGTCGCTTCTCACGCTCAACCCTCCGTCGCTCCCGTTGCTCCTGAATAACCGTCCATCATACAGGAGCTTCGCTACGCCGAGCTACTCACAGCTGCCTGATCGTAGAGGCGATCGAAGACCTTCCTGATTGTCATGGATTATCGACTCTCATCACACTCTGCGCGCTCCTAGGCGTGCGAGATTTAGTTTCGACTTGTCAGTAATTATACAAATTATGGCGACAGAAAGTTTGTAATCATGAATCGCTTCGCTCCGCCATGCCAAACGGTATAACTCAAGACCATCTCGCAGTCCACCTTATGACCTGCTATCACTGATAATTACCTCGTCTAGCCCGTCCCTCTCAAAAGCCGATACCACACCATCGAAGATTTTCCCGTTTCTTCGCTTCCCCGCACTGTGGGCAAACAGACATCGCCAGTAGTTGTCAGCTGTACAATAATGTCTTCGTCTAACTCCCCTGCACCACCTATCCCAAAGCCCGACGTTGAGGACAGCCGGCCCGCCCTTGTGGTTCCTAAGGTCAAACTTCCACCGATACTACCCATTTTCGAGCGATGGACGGTCCTGGTAAGCTAGCAGTGTCAGTGTCGAGCCCCATCATTTTCCTCATTGTACAGGTCTTCTCACTCGCCCTATGCATCTTCACAGCGTGCTCTTTGTTCACATTGAACCTATCCTGGGCTTATCAACCTAACCAGACTGGTATTGTCGTTTACCTCTGACGTCCCTAAGTGTTGTTGTGGTGCAGGTTACGAGGTTCCTCTAGCCAACTGTCCAGCCTTCTCGGAGTCTTTCTCGATCACTCACGAGACTGCACCCTCGGGTCCTACGTGTAAATTGGAGATCGTTCGGAACGGTTGGAACGACATGGTTATGTACAACTCCAGTATCGATCCTCTTCCTAGCAACACCCCTATTGACCAGTCGCTCAACAACTGTCGCTTGCCTCGAAACGGTGAAGAGGACTACCAGTGCTTTCCCCAGTACGAATGTCATGAGGCATGTCGCCGAGTTGACGACACCGGGACGTATTACCTTGGAGAGTGCCCTGATCCGGCTAACTTACCAGAGATCGGCAACGACGTGATGAAACCTGGTATTCCAAAATGTCAGGTTAAGTTATCGCCGAACTCTCCTTGGGAGACCCTCTTCTGCAAAGAGGTATTGGGAGTGCATGCTGCTGAGTCATTGTGCTACGCCCTTCACTGTGTAGGTCCTAACGTTATCCTACTGCTCAAGCAAGTACGATGTAACGCCTTCAAACATCCTTGGTATGCGAGGTATCATTTTGGCTGGTATGCTCATAGCTGTCATATGGTTCTTCGCTGAGTGGGTGCTATGGTATGTAGATCTCAACTTGCGCAAGGAGAAAGCAGAGGGCATGGCAAGGATGGCCAGAGAGCTCCCTCAGAAAAGAATGTATTTGCGGCAGCAGGTGGAGGCCCATTGGGAGGACGATTTCAACGCTGCTACTGTCGGTCTGGATGTTTCTAGTGATGGTTCGGTATGCGTGGTGCCTCCAGCGATGGACGAGGAGGAGCTTAGGGGCATGTCCGAGGGCGATATGGAATGCTACATGTCGAGGGATCCTGCGATGAGGTTCCAGTCTGGAACATGGAAGAGGCGGATCAGCCAGTGGAAGGCCTGCAAGGCTGCAGCAAAGCGGAGACATTGGATTCGCCAGCTCTTCTACGTGGCCGCTCTCAACATCTTCTTCCTACTTCTACTCGTCGCTACCCTGTATATCGTACTCTACTATTCCCCCCAGAATATCCTCGCTAACAACAGGTCGGTTGGTGATGATCTCTATGGGGAAGTCTCAATTTGGAATGCGCATTCGTGGTTGGATATCCTCATCTTTGTCGATGTCCTCCTCGACACCTTCCTCTTCCTCGTCGCTTGCGTCTTTGTCAAGTGGCCACGCGCTCCCGTCTATACTCGTCATGTTCAAGATGTGGTGGCTAAGAAGCAGCAACATGTGAGCCTCGCGGGTGGTTCAGATCGTTCTCTGAACACCGATGCGAATCCCCAATTCGATCATGCGGGCATCGCATCTCCACTCAGTGATGATTTCCTGTCTGATGAGAGCTCGGACAGCACTGATTCTGCCTGTGAGGAAGTAGTCATGAAGCAAACGTTGGCGTATGACTGCTGTTTGATGATCGCATGTCATCTCTCTGCTATGACAGAGGAACGTTATGAAACCTTCACAAGTACTCTACGTGCTGCTCTAATGGTCTTTCCTCCTAGTCACATCTTCGTCTGTGATAATGGTGGTACATTACATCCTGAAGATGAGACTGAGTGGGCAACTCAACAAGTTCATCCTGATATCAATTATGTTTATATTCCAGAAGGCAACAAGACGTTCGCTTTCTACTGGGTTAATAAATACTGGATACCGTACCTAGCCCAAAACGGTCGAGTTCCCGACTTCAAGTATTCCGTTATGATCGACGATGATGTGCCGCTTCCGGCGGATCTGTATATTCCACATGAACAACTTCGTGCAAATCCGAACATCAAAGCTGTTCACTTCCCCATCACAGCAACTACTCCTGATGGGAAACCTGATATGCTTGTGAAGATGCAGGATGTTGAGTACAAGATGGCTGCAGTGCATAAGCTATTCCAGTCGAAGATGGCTCGGTCGCTATCATGCCATGGTGCTGTGTCACTGTGGGATCGCGAGGCGCTCGATGAGGTCCTTTTTGAGCATGATACTGTGTTCAACGGTGAGGATATGTACATGGGTTTGACTCTCTTGAGGAAGCGTGACGAGTCTACGATCATTTCTTGTGCACAAACGATCGTCCCCACGTATGCTCCTGATACCTGGCCAGTGCTCTTCCGTCAGAGGGTCAAGTCGTGGGATCTAACATCGCACAAGAAGACGTTCACGTATCTCTGGGAGGTCATCAATCCCCGATCGTTCTGCCATGGGGCATCTCTGGTTCTGAAGCCGTACTTCCTTCAGGAGCTTCTCTGTATTCTATTGGATTGGTTGCGCGCTTTCTTGCTCTGTGGTTTACTTTTCCGTGACTGGCTCGGCCTCATTCTAATGACTCTTGTTTTTACTGCACTCCTCTACGTTCAAGTGCTCATCTTCGAGGTTTTCGTTCTCCGTGATCGACATGACCTCAGATCCGGCGTTATTGATTTCATTGTGTTCCCCTGGTACCGTCTCCAGTCGCTATTATTCAGAATATGCGCTTTGTGCCAGAATCTATTGGTTTACAGCCACCAAAGGAAGAATGTTAAAATCGGTGTTCGCGAGCAGAAGATCCATGATATTCCACCGACCCCACCACATCCTGATGTCGATTGGTTCACCGTGTGGGAAAACGACGAGCAGGATTCTCGTACGTAACGATAGAATTAATGAACATTTCGTTCATTACGAAGTACCATCGGCGCTGTGTCAGTAGCCAGTTGTTGCCCCCAGGATGTTCTTTATACAATAGTTCCTTGTCAGTAGTTTTCGCACTTTATCCGGTGACAGAGAAGCAACATTGTGCTTCAGCTGTTGAGGTGGTTACAGTTCCTTATGCTTTGTATGAGTTTGCCGTTTCTACTCGTGATGAAACACCAATCTCAGTGGACACCACGTGTTGTGTTATGCTAGTCGAAGAAAATTGTTAAGAGTATATTCGCTTGTTAGAATGATGTAGGCCCCGTTCGTGGGTTAGTGCCTCGCAATCCAAGTTCAATATTGAAGTCTTGCACTTTTCAAGTCATCTTCATTCTCCTGGAGAGTAACAGAAGCAGTCGCTCAGACCTGAGTAGCTGAACGGGAAGGAATTGTTGGTCGTAGACGCCCTTCATACTCCCCTCTGCCAGGCCGACACACTTCTCCTCCTTATCTTTCTGCCACAGTCGGGCCGCAATGGTTCTGGCTTCGTCAGCATTCATGCATGAGGGCTGACATGCAAATGCACGCCCCCTCCACTACCACTGTGACACACAACCCAAGACGATTCTCAAGGGTAACTGCTGCGATAAACGACAGTAAACGATGGTAGTAGTACCGAGTGTACGAAAACAGGTCGGCACTGAACACGTATCAAGCCACTATTTTCCACGACGGTAAATCGTAGATGTTAATCCTTGTATAATTTCCCGCAATCCGGCATTTTTAATGGCCCTTGACAAAACTTCGACCTTTGTTTTCTCTTCCTCCTCGAACCTGATTCCTCCAGGCTTTTATGCTAATTCACTGAGCATTGATATCACCTTCGGAAAGCCTGCTCAACGCCGGACTTAGCGAGAATACACTTTATCTCGTCCACCTCGGCACCTGTCAAGCTCAGTATAAGGCGTTATTGCCGTAACCGTCAACTCACCTGTCTTGTCTTTTTTGCTGTATAATTTATTTAATCGTTCGAGCGATGCTTTACTCTCGCCTGAACAAGACACGATGCTTCCGATTTCCAGCAGTGTCGGTCCCACAGGAGTCGCTCGTCTCCAGCAGCTCCCTTGCCTTGAGGAAAACATATGAGCACTTGCTTTCCTTGATATCAGTCCCAACCTAAGCACATGCCATGATATCAACTGCCAACGATCTCCAACTTACCTTGCCGATGACCTCAGGGTCGCCGAAAACGTCCAGAAAGTCATCTTGGGCTTGGAAAAAATTTCCCAGTAAAATGCAAGCCTAAACATAACACAAAATCCACCTTGAGAAAAACCCACAGAAGACGTACATCCTTAGTCCCTTTGTAGTCCGGGTCGTCTAGAGGGAAGCGAGCCATAGCCATGCCTAATGCGACCGGAAGCCAGAAGGAGTAGTAGGCTGTCTTATATGCTGTTGTGGCCCAGTACCTGACAAGACTAACTTCCCAAAGGCCTATCCTTGCTACCATTATCATCATACCTCTCCATAGTGTACCGCGACAAATCAACAGTATAATCGTCGGGGCGAACGGAGTTGAGGTCCAGATGCTGCCCTATAATCGTTCGTAACGTAATATCATGGCAAAGCCGGATTATCTAAGTAATACCATCTCGCCACCACTTCGTCGTTGCAAGACCTACCGCCAACTTGATATCGGCATCGAAACCTGTAGACTCAATAAGAAGAGTGTATACAGCATTCTCTATAAAAACAACATCATTGAGCGAGTTGGGCATCGATATCTCCGGCAATCTGTACCAACACGTACTGAGAGGAAATACCTGGGCTATGGAAGGCTCCTCTACTATATGTAGTTCTACCTCCCACGACGAGTCTCTGACTGATCCATGACGTCATCGAACATGAGAAAACTGGCTTGCAAGAATTCAGCACTCCAACCAATGGCAGCGGCGTCCTTAACATGCTCACAAGAATCCCCACATAGGGCGACGTACCTATCACGTCGTAAGAGACCAACACCAGATTATCAGCGAGCTCACGTTGCAACCGTGGTCAAACCCCGAGTCATCTTCCCTCCTAAACAGTTGTAGTTCATACACCTCTCGAAGTAGTTACAGACCTGTCACCAAATCAACAACTCAGTCACCATTCCATCGTGACTCACGCCAATATGCACATCGTTATCAGGACCCAGACCGCCCTCATCCAGATAAGCCCCGATGCCCTGTATCACTGTCTCGCGAGCCTTACAACAACAACAACAAGCCAATGAGCAGCAGCAGCAGCCCAGTCGAGGTTGGATACTACTCTAGGGTAAGCGTCGAGGAACATCTGCCGTATGCTGTCATCTTGAATGTCGCCACGCCCTGCATGACCACTACTAGAGTTCATGACGACCTTTTCCGCATGTGCTGCAGAAAGTGTAAGAGTGTTATGCGGCATACAAACACCTGTTACGACTTCCCTCACCAGTACTCCATACAAACCCAACACTGTAGTGAGGCGGTGATCGTAACTCCAATACGAACGTTGTTGTAATAGTAGTGTTACATATTATGATAGCAATAAGAAGAATAAGAACAAGTAGCGACAACATTTGCTGACCACTTCTTAAGAGCGTCGACGGGACTTTCTCTCATCTCCTCGATTATCATCTAACCAACAACAATCCTCCATCACCTCCTCCTCCTCCTCCTTTTCCCTACCTCCCCGAGATCTCTTGCTGGCCTGCTTCTGCTGAGGCTCATCGTCGTCGTCCAACAAGCCCGACAACCCGAACTGATCCTGATCTCCAGCAGTCTCGAACTGTACCGGAGCTTGCCGTTGATAGACCTAACAACAACCACTAATACTACTACTTCCATCACCCCAGCCTCCCTACTGCTGCAGCACTATTGCTTTCCCCTCCAGCCTTCTCCTCAGCTCTGTCATACTCCTCACGAGCCTGCTCCAGCCGCTTAGCGTCGTACTGGTAGATCTTATTGGCCGAGGAACGATCTAATTCCACATCCTTAAAAATCCTATCACCACCGCAACAAAGTCCCTACCAGCAAACAGCCTTTTGTCATATACGTTATTCGCGCCATCATCATAAAAGCCAGAGTCCAGGCCGCCGCTCTGGTTGAACAGTCGAGCATCGTATTGACCCTCACCCTTGGAGCTGGGCTGGACCTGCCAAACACAGCAGAATAACCATCCTAACAGCAGCAAGTGAGGGGATACTACTTGTTTGCCCAGGGCGATGAGCTCGGAAATATCTCTTTCCTCGTCCCTGTCTCGGCCCTGCTTGTTCCTTCCTGCCTTCTCCATACGATGCTCACGAAGAGTCTCCCGCATGACCTCAGCTCGTGCTTCATCTTGTCTACGATAATCTGCCATAACAGGCTTTCCACAAACAGCAATGAAGTATATGTTCGCTTTCCTCAGCTGAGCTTGAAATTTTTTTCACGTACTAGAGAAGTTTACATGAGAATAGGGGTAGAACTATACAGAAACCAATAAGAACTTCCCAAATTTTCCTCAGAATTTGCATATTGTCACCAACGCATGTAGTTGACCATGTGCATATTTTCCTCTCACACTAATGACAGTAGTCAGCACCACATTACCCTCAGCTTCCTCCCTGTCTCCTCTACCACCAGCAAAGGCATTCGTACGAGACCTGCGAGCTTTAGCCGCCAAATCACGCAGTTTCTGTTCTTCGCTCTCCTAAAGGAATCCAAGGTTCCAACCATGTAAGATACAAAGCAGGTCCAAACGTGCCTGTTCACGCGTAGCCTTCTGCTTGGCGAGCTCATTCCGAATTCTAATTTCCTGCCTGGCCTTCGTTTCTGCTATATACAGATCCTCCGCGAACTGAGCATGCCTTTCAGATACCGTAACGTCCTAACACAAACACACTCATAAAGAAGTAAACTCTACCTCGGCCAACTCTATAGTAAAGTCTACTACCTGTAAGCCTCTGCCATCAGCGGCAATACGTTTGTCCAAAGGAATGACGTAACCCTTAGCATTTTTCCAGTTGCTCACACATGGCGGAATCTTCCACATCTGTGCAAGGCGAATTTGAATAGCATCAACACAGCACGAGCGCGTACAGCTTGATCCTCCTTGGTGAGCTTCTTGGGAGGGGATCTCAGCACTGGCGGCGGAGGTTCGCTTGGGGCTGAGAATTGTATTAGCGACTTGAACGATTTTAGATTTGAGGCTATTACGAGCTGGGACTTTATGATGACGGAATTTTGGCGGTTCCATAGGGTCCTTCTGGACCTCAACCACCTTGATAACTCTCTGTTTGATGTTGGGGTTACGGCCAGGAGCATCCTTACTAGGAGTGTACCTGACAAAACCACCAACACAACCCATCTAAGTACCCGGCACATTTTCTAACGACCACAGCAAGCTTATACTGGGCTCTGCCTCCCCCTTGTTACTACCGTAGATACTGTGCGTTGGCGAGCTTCCTCTGAGCATCGTTAGCCCCCGACAGATGCTCTCTGGTGGTATCCGCCTGCCCTATACGTTGGGCCAGAACAGCTGATAAGTAACCATACATCGACAACGCCCCATAGCCTTCCCCTTATCACCTTCAAGAGCACTACGAGTCTCATCAGTGTTCTTCCTCAACTCCAGGGCATCGGGTCTGTCCAGACTGGCCTCGGGAGTCCATCGCTCCTTGAGATCCCCTAAAAGGAAGACACCCTATTACCAGTAGGGATCGTGAATGCTCACCAGGTTTGTGTTGGTGTCGAGCCAAAGCTTGCTTGATAGAACTGTCGGACGCTCTTACTATAGACATAGTGGAACCAACAGCGTCAACGCTAAGTAGTACAATGCCCTCTACTAGAGGAATGCTCAAGATCGTACGTAGAGGAGACCGGGATGCGATTGTCGCTCGCCCAGCAACAGCAATGGACGGAAAGTTGGTCGATTAGAAGGGCGAGCGCGGTTGATCAGCGCAGTTTGTCTGTGTGGCTCTTTCAACTTGCAACTTCTGGGCGGGTGACTGCATTGTTATGCTTCTATGTGATTTGTCCACTACCCCATCGAGAGCACCATAGAAAATGGTGTTGGTAGGGGGGGGTTCTTACATACCACACTTCTGTTAGAAAGGATTCACATCCCATACTTGACCGTAAGGCTACCAAGAGTATATACAGTCTATTGCACCGTCTGAAGCCGTGTTGTCAATGAAAGCTCATCCGTGTTATCAGCATTGGACTTTACACTCTCTCACACACACTGACATTTCGATATTCCGTAGTAATGTTGTTCTTATCAGGATTCTTGCATAGTGTTGTCCTGGAGCCGTGAAGAGCCGGCTATTTATGAGTGTCGTCCCAGGCGGCAAACATGAGGAGGGGAAGCTCTCAGTACCAGTACCACGTCGAGTTTCCCTCGTGGAATCGTTGACGAGCTCAAGAAGGGGGTCTTACGCCATGCCTAAGGAGTACTTCAGTTTTCAACTGCTCGGCCAGAAGGTGTCTTGTGAGAAGACACTGGACCCCTTTGGGATCTACCATCAAGTATTGGTGGACGCTGGTGGAAAGCAAAAACGACTATGCGAGAATAGTTGCTTCATATTCCCGATACGCAGCAAGTTCAGACTCTTTACGATATGGATGGTGGAATGGAAATGGTTCCAGAGGTAGTACTCATGGGGGAGGGTACACAGGGTATGTCGTAGTAGTGGTGGTAGTAGTAGTAGTAGTAGTAGTAGTAGTAGTAGTAGTAGTAGTAGTAGTAGTAGTAGTAGTAGTAGTAGTAGTAGTAGTAGTAGTAGTAGTGGTAGTAGTAGTAGTAGTAGTAGTAGTAGTAGTAGTAGATAGTAGTAGTAGTAGTAGTAGTAGATAGTAGTAGTAGTAGTAGATAGTAGGTCGCTGATGACCCCTTTTATACCCTTTTCCGCCGAGCAAGGCGATGTTATACCCAGTCATGCCACATCGTATCACCTTTACGCATCCCAACGCCTCCTACTACGTTACGAGGTCACTACGCGTCTCCTCCATATCACGACGCGAGCACCACATCGTGCATGAGACTGTACAACTCGGCTTACACACGCACTGACTCTCCTGTTAACCCTTTCGATGAGATAGGGAGCGAGCGCGATTACACCGTAGCGGTGGTCCTCAGGTTCATCCTGTCGCTCATCGTGTTGAACTCAATCTTGATCGCTATTGAGGATAAGAGGGATCCTGATAACCGTCGCAATGAGGTCGAAGTTGGGCCCACCTTGTTGTCGTCATTTCCTCCTCAGATTGGCGCGTTTGCCGATTCGTTATTATTGGCATTCTTCACGATAGAGTGTCTGCTGAAGATAGTCGCTTGGGGGCTTATACGAGAGAAGTCGACTTATCTGACTGATGGCTGGAATTGGTTGGACTTCATCGTGGTGGTGACGGGTCTCCTCTCCGTCGTGAACTTGGGTGGTGACACTGACCTTAGCGTCCTGAGGGTCTTCAGGGTACTCAGACCTCTACGCAGCTTAACAGTATTGAAAGAAATGAAGGTAATATCAATAGTATTGTTCCGCTCATCGTGAGTGATGAAGCTATGGAAAAGGTGGTGGTAGCGTGACGATGATACTAGAATTCATCTGCTCGTGCATAGCTTGAATCGGTGGTATGCATTTGAGGAGTGTATTAGATCGATTGGAGTGGTAGTAAATAGTCTTTTTTTCTCATGGTGAGTGACCGGCTTATGAGAATGCTGATGATAGTGACATGCTGTGTAGCATTAGAAATCAATGGCTCGTGCATAGTTTGAATAGGTGGTATATATTTGAAAGAGTGAATTAGATCGATTGGAGTGGTAGTAAATAAAAAGTCTTTTCTTACTCATGATAACTGACGGGTCTATGAGAAAATAAAGGTGGTGACACGATGATGGTGACATGCGTACTGTATAGTGTACTAGATTGGTTGTAGGGGTAGTGGTAATAGATTTATAGGGTGAGTTGTTTGTCAGTTACTGGTGAATACAGTACTTCTTTCTATACCACGTCTAGCCAACGTAGCCGGCACTGCTGTGTTTATCCTGCTAGTATTCGGGATATTGGGTACCAACTTTTGGGGAGGAGTACTTGAACGAAGGTAGTATTATGCAGTTAGTACTCGAGTGAAATAACAGCAAAGTGCGACCACCTGTTCTATTATAACGAGCGTGAAATTCGAATTTCTCGTGAGTGTCGGCGGCAAGGCTTTCAACATTTCTGACACCATCTGAAAGCCCTCTACAAGAGCTTCCGAATGGTATGGGATTTTCTGAATATTCAACTAAGCACATTTTCCTTGGGACACCCTGTAGTATAGTATTACTATTATTAGTAGCATTATTAGTATTATCACTGTCTGAGTTGGTCAGTAATAGTAGTGGTATTGGTACTTCCTCAGGTGTCGTCTAACGCCTTATCCCATCCTCATTGAAGCAGCTACAGGAGCAGTGCAGCATGCCTTGCCGGTCTTGAACGGTTCTCAGGAGTACTGTTGGGAATGGGAAGTGGATACAGCCCAGAGCAGGTATGGTTTATAAAAGACGTATTTTTTATTGGAAAAATTCGAAAAAATTGAAGTTTTTCGATGAGTATTTGGGTTTTTTGGGCCGAAAAGTTTATTCTTTTGGGATTTTCTTAGGGAAAAAATAGGCCCGGCCCCTCCCTATGAGAGTTTTTGCGATATGTGATTCACGAGTTCAGGTTGTGTGGCGGACGGTATTCGTGCTTACCTGAAACCTATTGTGGATCCAATTATGTAGAGGACCAAACGGAGTCTCTCCGTCCAGTGTTCATGATAAATGGTACAGTGCTAGCAGCATGAGGAGGAGGAGACAGGATGGGATTTCCCTGGTGAGCAACGCCTTCAAGGTGCTACTAGGTCGTACTGGTGTGTA